CGCCCCTCCACCGGGCCGCAGCCGTCGCTGTGAGGGGGCGCAGAGGCAGTGCCGCACCGCTGCCCGCTCCGCCACGGCGGCGCGCCTCCGGGACCGCCCGGCGTCCCTCCGCGCAGCGGGGCCGGCCCCGGCCGTCGCCCGCTCGCTTCGCCGTCGGGGCTGACGGGGGGGAAGATGAACGCCGCGCCCGCGGCCCCGCCGCCGGGGCAGCAGGTGATCCACGTCACGCAGGACCTGGACACGGAGCTCGAGGCGCTCTTCAACGCGGTCATGAACCCCCGGCCCAGCTCCTGGCGAAAGAAAATCCTGCCCGAGTCCTTCTTCAAGGAGCCCGACTCGGGCTCGCACTCGCGGCAGTCCAGCACGGACTCGGGCGGCCCCCCGCCGCGGCCCGCCGCCGCGCAGCACGTCCGCTCGCACTCCTCGCCCGCCTCGCTCGTGGGCTCGGCCGCCGCGCCTCAGCACGGGCACCTCCGGCAGCGCTCCTACGACGTGACGGACGAATTGCCGCTGCCGCCAGGCTGGGAGATGGCGCTCACGCACACGGGACAGCGTTACTTCCTCAAGTGAGCGAGCGCGGCGCCGGACGGGGGCCGTTCGCGGGGCGGGCGCGGGCGGCGGGGGCTGAGGTGCCAGAGGGGGAGAGGGAGAGACGCGGAGAGGCCCGGGGCGGTGGCGGGGAGGGGCAGAGCGGGGGGTGGGCGGCGGAGTCCCTGCCCGCCCGTGCGGCTCCCGGCTTCTCTTGCGTCCCCTCGCGCTGCCGCTTCCCGCCCGGGATCCGAACGCGATCTGAGCTCGGCGTGGCGATGTGAGGAGTCGTGCGGAGCGCGGTCCGTGGGCGCGGGGCTCCCCTGCTTTGGAGACGCGTTTGGACAAATGTGACAGCCGAACCGTCTGTCTGACTGAAGCGTCTTATTCGTGACGTTTGGAATTCGGTTCGAAGTAGCATAATAGGACTGGGAATACGCAGCAGTTGTAATATGTGCTAAGGCAGCAGCACGTTATTTCAGTGGGTTCTGTATCTCTGTTCCGGATTTGCTGTAGGTGAAGTGGCACTGTGATAACCTAGCGAAGGCACGGCTGCAGAATGTTTGGAATCATAGAATGGTTTTAGCTGGAAGGGACTCTAAAAGCCATCTGGTCCCGCTCCTCTGCAATACAGGGACAACTGCAGCTCCATCAGGTTCTCAGAGCCCCATCCAGGCTGACCTGGAGCTTCTGCAGGGATGGGACACCCACTGCCTCTCCAGGCAACCTGTGCCGGTGCCTTACCTCTCTTATTGTAAAAACTTTTTTCTTATATCCAGTCAAAATCTCCCTTCTTTTAGTCTGAAACCATTTCGCCTTGTCTTGACACAACAGGTCCTGCTAATGAGTCTGTCCCCTTCTTTCTTACAGTCCTTTTAGGTACTGACAGGTACTCTCAGGTCTCCCCCGAGCCTTCTCCAGGCTGAACAGCCCCATCTCTCAGCCTGTCCTGGTAGGGAAAGTGTTCCACCCCTTGCCCTCTTCCTGGGCACACTCCAGCAGGTCCATCTCTCCCCTGTGCTGAGGACTCCACATCTGGATGCAGTACTCCAGGTGTTTTCTAATGGAATAAATAGTGGAGTTGGGCTATGGGTTTGCCCGCTTGTTGCCTGTCAGAATAGGCATGTCTTGAGCTTATATGAGACTGCATGCCTGCGTGTATTCAGCCATACCAAGCACAACGATAGGACTTGGGGGAAGGCAGAGAATGTTTTCTTCTTGTAAAAATAACAAAGTACATCATTTACATGATTCTGTAACGATTTCTTTTCTTTGTGGCTTTGGCATCTCCAGAGAGCCCGGTCCTTGAATTCCTTTGTACGATCTGGGTTGTGCTTCTTCTCACCTTCAGAGCAGAGTGGAAATACATTTCTTTCTGCCATTCTGCATGTCAGTGTGTGGGAGTGCTCACAAGGGCCCAGTTTTCTGTCCGTTGTTAATCTGGTTTATCACCTAACTGAGATATTATTGCTGCACTTTGCATGCATTTTTCTCAGTAGAGAAATACAGAGGAAGGGAAGCTTATAGAAGCACTGTAGCAGATTGCTCCTGAATAAATATTTTATATAAATTCTTGCTAGGGCTTGGCAAGCAAGTGTTCACACTCCAGCTTTAGATCACATAACACAATTCTTGTCTACCATTTGGCTTTGACTGATATCAAAATGCACTCACATGGTTTCACCTTCACCTGTCCCACATTTCTGACATAGATGTAGAGTGTTCCAAGATGCTGAATTCTTGTTGGGTCTAAAAAATTGTGGGTCCTGTATTAAAAAAAAAAAGAAGAAGCTGTGGATAAAACCCCGCAGCGTCTGTCATGTTTTTCCCAAATTGTATCAACAGCGCTGCTCTGATTAACAGCATCCTTTTAATATAAGGTAAATTTTCACCGTGCCTGTAATTTGTTAGCTAACTTGGTCTATATGTTGTTCCCACAGTTTTATTTTTCCAGTGAGCACTTTTCTGATTTCCATAAAAATTAATTGGAAAAGCTTTTTTTTGGGGGGGGTGGAACTCAATGCTTCTGCATGTAATACGTAACTATAAACTGATCCTGTTTGATCCACAATATTTTGCTATTTAAGTATTTTTTTTAAGCGAAAATAGCTTTTTCTGCAGAAATGTAAAATTGTTTATAAGTGACATTTAAAGCTATGCAATATTATGTAGGATTCGAGTTAGATGATGCCTTTAAAAGTCCTGTTGGTCAAACCGAGCGTACTAGGTTACATTTACCTTGAATGGTAAATTCAGGCCACGTTTGTCAAAAAACTGCCATTTCTTTCCAGCCTGATGATAAAAATGTGGTAATACTCATTAGCAAAAGAAAATGGAGGAGAAAACGAATAGTGCATAGCCAGACTGTGTCCTGTTAAAGCCCCTGTGGTCTGTAAAGCAGACAGTTTCTTTTAAACGTATTTTCAAGAACTGTTGGGTGAAAGTTGCAGTGGCTCTCTGTTAGTAATGATCTTGGTTAGCACTGCTGACCAGGAACCAGCTACGGCTCGCAGCACGCACACTCGTGCATGTCAGTTCCTGCAGAAGTTTGCTGGCTGGGGCTTGAAGAAACATAAGTAGCCTGGGGACCACTCCACC